GAGAGCTTCTCCACCTGTCGAATGAAGCCTGTCATTTGCAATGGCTCCGGTCCCTACATCGCGAGTCGCCGTGAGTCTCATCATGCTGAAAGACCGCCTGAAGTCGAGGTGAGTTTAGAAGCTCAGACCGGCGTTGCAAGCTAAGAGGTGGGCTTGCAAGCTGGAGAACTTCCTATTTCTTCTCACTAGGTTGACGACTATCAGTGCCCTCTATCCAAGACTATATCAACCTCTTCCAGAAAGTCCTCGCTGATCAATCACGAATCCTCAAAAACGTCTTCAGTGGGTCTGGCTTCACTCCTATGGCAGAAATACAGGCTGTATGTTGATCCTTTAAAATACCGCGCCGTCATGTACAGATTCTGACTAATTTTTTGTAGTTTTGAATTATGACTTCATTTGAAAGCCAATGACCTATAGCCAGGTGCGCTGCGATGTTTTAGATGCTTTTCTATTTCCGTTAACCTCAGTTTTTTCATCTATCTGGAGGGAGGGAGCAGGATACGACTTGCTTTCTTTACAGGTTCAGTTATAATGACTATGTTCCGGCACTTTCAACCTCGATGACCCTCAGAATCAAACTTTGGTCCGCTGATGGGACATTGCTATGAGTGCCAGTCATCAAGGGCCTACGGTGATGGGTCCAGCAATAGCCATAAGTAGTTGAAGAAGTGGATCAGCCGAATTGGGCGATGAATGCTTCCGTCTCTGCGACAGAATTGAACCTCCTGTAGCATCCGGTGGATGCCCCTTTCATTCGCGTCTCGCATTCCTCCCTATACATGATTGATGCGTTCCGGGAGACTGACCACAGGCGGCAGCATAGTCACTACCTTGACGTCTTCGCTTTTGGCATAACCGTCTCAGGTGGAGGCCCTCATATGCTGCGTGATGGCCCCGACGAGGAAATTGTACACGATGTCACGTATGCAGATGATTCGCGATCTGGTTAGAAAAGAGTTAACGATCATCTATGATCGAGGGTCACACGACACATCCAGGGGCTGTAAACCGATCTTCTTGACCTGCATTTCATCTCGTTCAGTTTGCATGGCCTTGTCGAGTAGGTGCCAGTAGCGGCAGATTGGGTGCACACGATAACCCCGGTATGTACTCACGTTCCTGTCTACCTGCTGATCAAATTCTCTTCCCATCCGAGGCTTTCTTGCTTCACCTGACCACAGGTACCTCGAATGTCAGGCTCGTCTCCCGCCACTTCTCGCTTCCACCTCCATTCCAACGCATACCTCATCATTCGTACCGTCTTCTCTAACAACACAATCGCGTTGATCGGTTCCCTCGAATACCATAGGCCCAAGCTCACTTACCGACCCAGCCTTGTTGCTCGATTTCTCGCGCAAGTCATTCTCACATTGGGCATCGATCGCATACCTTTCATGATTCACACTAATCGTCCGCGGATCTGTCGAAACTGTTGACATCCTCACAGGCCGATTCTCGCCACAGTACTTCGATAGAGACCTACATCTTTAATTTATCTCTCCTGTACGTCTGCCCTTCGCGTTGCCTTTCCTTTTCGTCTATAGACCTCGTCGTGATATTGAATGCGCTGTCGCTGGTAAATCCTCAAGGCCTCAAATGTCGGAAACTGATTGGGTCTCAGGCATCGTATATGACCTTCCATGACATCTCCATGCTATATATCTCACTTTCGATGCCCTTGTCGAACTTTCAAACTGCTTACCATATCAAAGCAAACCCCTCGGCACGTAATTCTCGAGCTTGTCAAACCTCACTCCCAACGCTCCTCATCAATGCATCGTATCGCGGCTGGCAGGTCTCGATGTGTGCTTCTTCGCCCAACCCGACAAAGCGAGACATGTTCAATTGTGCTCCCGTCTGAATCAGTCGGCTGCTGTCTGTTTATGATCAGAATTCCACGATGTTTGCGACAGGTCTGCAATTAATCGAGTCGTAGGGACAGCGAAGTGACTGTCGCTCAAGCAATCATTTCGCTTTCGCGACCGTGTGAACACACGGTATGGACACCGTCCAGTCTTCTGCCTATGAACAACGTTTCAGCATAGGCTGCTTCACTTGTAGTATGTTTTGCCTTGTAGACTCGAGGCTTAAGTGGTGATAGTATTATGTCCGGCACGGCGCGTCTTCGCTTGTATACGTTGGTCTTTTGGCTGGTCTCTGGGATGCTCGATCAGACTCGAAACTCAATGCACCGAGGCTTTGACTGCATCGCATTTGAAGTGCAATCAGTATGGTCGGAGATTGCGGTTGTAACCCTTGAAAGCGGGGACTCCGCCGTTGATATACTTGAAGGGAATGTGGATTGCTCGACTCAGAACCTGCATCCGCGGCCTTCTGAGGATCAACGTTCGTTCAGGAGCTTCGACAATTCGCACACACTTGACAGAGGAACGTAATCCCTTTCATACATCTCTTTCCTCATCCCACTACTTCGGCTCAGCTCTTTCTCCCTTCACATTGTTTTGCATCTCTGTGTATGAACACGACTAATGCTGTCGCTTTCATAGGCTTTCCCATATATATCGTCTATATCATGAATGGCTGTGAAGCTTCTCATGCCAGAAGACCGCGCGACCCCATCTGGGCGAGTTTGTCAATTTGCACAGGTGTCCAGAGTTATGAGTCAGATTTGCAAGCCGAGGGAGAAGGCTTTGTGGTTTCTCCCGCACTGATGACACTCACACCTCTTGATTGATATCATTGTCAAGACCGAGTGACCTGTGCATCGGCTGTGAAGATGGCGGGGCAGATCTTGAACTCTTAGTGTGATTCAGCCGCTAAGTTGAGCATGAAGTTTCCTAACTCACCATCTTCACTGAGGTTCAATCAGGAGTGGTCTCACATATAAAATGCACTTTGCTTGAATAGTAAGCACCCAGTATCTCTGCACTTTTCTCTCTGTCATCACCTATCTCAAATCTTCAGCAAATCTATATTGCACTCTACCATGTCAGAGCTGGATTTCACACTAGATGAGGTCATCTCAGAGATGTATGTTATGCTTCTAGAATAAATAATGCATTTAGTGCTAATTGCCACGATTTAGTTCACAGGAATACCTTGCAGACTATATCACTCTTGCAGCACTAGGTCTGTTTCAATTAACTTCACTATCTATTATATTGTAAATAATCTATATTTTAGTTCTAGTTGTCTATGATGCTATCTTGGCATGGCCTCAAGAATGGAAGTGCATCTGGAAGAGAAAATTCTCTGCCATCACTCTCCTCTATGTGCTTATCAGATATGGCACTATTCTGGATATGTCTCTTCAAACCTTTAATATCTTCTGGATTCCCACAACTATTTCTGTGAGTCATGTGTAATCAATCCTTACATTCAAACTCTAACTGTGCTATAGAGGTATTAGGATTGTCTTCTAATGACTCATATTGATAATAATTAATATGCTTACTAGCTGTAAAGCTGTGGACATTTTGGACTATATCATTGCAATAGTGAAGCTATTTGCAGTTGCAGGCAAGTATCTATTGCTAAATATAATATGCAGCAAGGTTATAATCTTTACTGATCTAGCCTTTAACTGTCTGCGCATCTGGGCTATCTGTAGACAAAGATGGTTTCCAGTCACAGTGGTATTTATACTCAGTATTTTTACTCCAGGTGCCAATCTTGTGCAGTATATTTCTTTTTGCTAATCTTCAAAATATCAACCTTATATATCTTTGCAGTATAACTTTTCTAGGCCACAAACCTGGATTATTGTATCTGCTGGGCCACTAGTGGGCTGTTCAAATACATCTACTATTATACTATATCAATAGTGAGTGTTTGTATATTTAGCTACTATCTAGTTACTTATTGCATCTTTAGCTGTTTGTGCTTATCATTATTCTTATCTGATTTCTATTTATATCTCTCTTTAAAGTGCCTATTATAAGCAGAGCCATATCTATAGCATCAGATCTGGCAGTGCTTATATTTACTCTTCTTGAGACAGCTCATACCTGGAGAATAGGTCAACCTGCACAGATAAAAATAAAACTCACTACAATGCTAATATATAATGGTATGTTGTCTACTACTTTCTAGTATATAATATTAATTAGAATTACTTCTAATTATACTTTAGGAGCACTCCAATTTCTGTATGTTCTTTTTTATTCTTTATCAGGGTGGTAGTTCTAAAGTTTTTTTTAAATCTAGTATTTTTTTGATGTTAAATGTTATTTCAGTGATACTGAAGGTACTCTCAGCAACATCATTGAATGTGAGTGTTTTTATTTTTTAATTTTTTATAGAATTTGCCTCTTTACATTTTAATACAGATTGTTAGCACTGCATCCAACTTTATCAATATTAATGACAGGCAGGTTTTTTCAATTATATCTAGCAACTACTTATTGATTCAATACAGTGTCACCTCAATTCTTCTCTGTCGCTTTCTTTTGGACTTGCGCTCTGTCTATCAATCTAGCAGCAACAACTCTAGCTCTAACCATCAAAATTCCAGTATTTACTTTGCTAGTTCAATTCTTGGCAATATAAGTGCCACAATTGATGCACCTTGGGCAGCTGAAGAAGATGAGAATGAAGAGATAAATGTAGAAGAAGACCAGTCTTTCATTCACTCTGACAGCTTCTCTGCCATTGAATTGGTAGAGACTGTAGCTAGACAGGTGAATGAAGCAGAGAATGCAGAAGCTGAGTGAGATTTTATTTTTATCTTATTTTGTCTTTGCAATACTCAGAATCTTTCTTACAGACCCTCTGATACTCAAAATTATAAAAAAGCCATTTCTGATGATATTGTTCAGGTTTCTGTAGATATGGTCTAGATCTATCACATATTGTCCTGCTCTTTATCTATATTCTCCAACAGTTCTCACTGTGTGTCTTCTCTATTGTATTTGCCACTTGCTCTCTCCATTTCTTTTCAATTACTAGAGTCTCTCTTTGCAATATTCCATAGCTTGTTATATTTCATCCATCATCATGAAGATGGCCCATAAGTAGCATGCTCTGCAGACAATGATACAGACCCATGAGTAATCCATTAAGAATATACAGGCAAGACTATGAAACTGACTACAATACAAGGTTAGTGTGATACATACAATTGCAAGAACACGAACAACGTCATCACAAAGCTATCACATCTCCACAACCGTTCAAAGTTCGACCTTCGCTTGATCCGCCTTCATCTTCGCCGCCTCTACCTTCTCATTCCAATACTTCTTCCCAGCACTCGAATACTCCGCCGACTTCGCTCCAGCCTTACCCTTAGCCTCTTCAGTCTTATCAGAAGCATACTCATAGGTATCGCCGGCCTTCGCCTTGGCCTCACCAGCCTTCTGACCTGCGTAGTCTTTCCCCTCTGCGTATTTCTCGTTGACGTAGTCTTTCGTCGCATCCTGGGCCTCGTTGGCACGAGTCTTGGCAGACTCGACATGTCCGGTGAGGATATCGAGTATCTATGAATAACAAATGTTAATAAAAAGCCTGAAATGAAGACGACTTGAACATACGATTCCAAGCTTTTCCTCGGCTGCCTCAACGCCATTGGTGATCACCTTACGGATGGTCATTTGTACCCACCGAATACGAACCTCCACTGCAACAGGTCAATATGAGAATAAGGATCCTTGAATGTATCAAACGACGTACGAAGAAGTCCGGGGTGAGAAGTTGGCAGCGCCGCGTCTGATATGCCGTGCTCGCGAAGGTAGGCGTGGAGACGAGCATCAGGCCAAACGAGATAGGCAGCAGTACGTGTGGAGGCGTCATTGTATCTACATGCCAAGGTCAGGTATTCAGCGATACGAGCATAAGTAGAAAAATCATACTTGGCGTCGATTAAATCGGCAAGCTCTTCACGGGTCTTCTCGGCGTCACTCCTGAGGTATCCATTGGCCATTAACCAATCGCGCATATCGCTGTCCTTCCAACTCGACCAAACTGTGTCCTTTGCATTGGTGTAGTTGTCGATGATCAAGTTCTCGAGTTTCTGCGCGTCGGTCTTGATAATACCGTGGTCGATGATCCGTCTATGAATTTGGGAGTCGGACCAAGACGCGTAGACAGTATCCTTCAACTGAGGGCACGTCGTCAAGCAAGGTACCTAGTGGATTACGATGTCATCATACCTTGTTGTCGTAGTAATACTTCTTCATGTCAGAGACGAGCTGATCTCTGGGCTTGTGTTCGTCTTGCTGGAGAATGCCGTGGAAAACGATCCATTCATGCTGGAAGATATCATGTCAGTCAAGGCAGCATCATGTCCTTCGGATTGAGAACTTGCAATGTAGGAGTCCGACTACGGTTTCTAGATAGGGTTCGTTGTCTGCGGATAAGTCTCTCGCATCTTCTCAAGGAGCTCGTAGGGAGTGGCCTATTGCTTGGTCTTGATGACCCCCTTGTCCTCGAGGTACTTCCAAGATGGTTATCGTGCCATCTATTACAATACGTGAGTAACACGGAGATGGACGTGTTGCAGGACGCTCACGTTGAGTATACATAGTCCTTCGAGTCGTCAAGCTTCCGCAAGGCATCAAAAGCAGCCTGAGCCACATAGGAGCTGACAGACTTTGATGATTGAGACTTCGAGTCTCCATTAACGGCAGTGGAAGCAGTACCACTAGCTCAACTTGCAAGCGAAGACGCACTAGCAGAATACGAGCTAGCAGCACTGCTGTACAATCTATACTTCTGCTTGGCTAGAAGGGCGAGCTAGTCGCGAGTACCATTCGGTACTATGACGCCCTGTTCAAGAATAAACTCTAGAAGATGACATTCATCCCAAGTATCGAACGCATCGGTTTTGAAACCTTGAAAGATGGCCTGGGCTTTGCAAGGCTGTTCAGAACGCGCAATGCTGACGGTGACGTCTCAGTTCACTTAGAGCCAAAGCAAGAGGCTTGCACCGTAGAAAAGCCAAGCGCAAATTAGAGGATAATTATCGGCCTCATTTTATGGCGTATGCATGGAGAGCGACGACGAACGATTGGAACAGGACGAGAAGTTCAACGGTGGAGGCATGTACGTGTCGAATGATGCAGATGTGAGGAGCGCAAGATGAGCCAGAAAGTCGAAAACCACATATGTGGTCAAGCAAGAGAAATATTTGCAGGATCGACGAGCGACGAGCGACACGTTCCACTCGGGATCGAAAGGCAAACGATCGAGGGCAAACGATCGCACACGCGAGATGTACATGTGGGAATCACCAGGACCCCTGATAATACCCCAAATATGCTGTTCGGGACAAGGGGGTTTTAGATCCGGACACAAGTCCGGATTTTTCTCCGGACTTCAGACTGGCCTTCCAAAAAGTCCCAAATTTCCTCCGGATTCCCCGAACGGCCTCCAAAAATACCCAAATTTTTCCAGAACGCTCGAAAACCATCAAAAACTGCTCGAAAACACTCAGATGACCTATAAGATGGCTCCAGAAGCTGAAAAATGAATGTTTAGGGATAGTCTTCAATAGTAGTTAAGTGTCGTCGCCGGAAGGCTCCTTCTTCTTGCGTTTGCGCGGTGGCCGCATGGCTTCAGCGATTTGCGGAACAGCTCTCTGTAGAGCAGTTAAGACACCACTGTCAATCCCTCACTTGTGTAGTACAACGGAGCCACGATAAGGAACAGAGCGAAAGAGCGAAGGAACGAAGTCAAACGATGCGTCTGCAATGGTGTCAACCGGCCGAAAAGTGGTCTTTAAGTTGGAGACCTACGTATGAGACCGCACCGATGAATTCGACTTCCTCGACAGGACAATGTTTCCCATGTTGACTGCCCGATTTGACATACAACGCGAGGACCACAGATGCGTGGAAGAGAGTAATTTTCACACCCCAGAGACCTCCACCGAAGGCATTGTCGGAGTTTACCCAATTTTGCTTGTACTCTTAAGGCTGTATTCACTACAATTACATGAAGTATTTGTCCCACTAATACACCTTCCCATCCCAAGCAATAAAGGATTTTCAGGGGCGGACCCGGCAATTTTCATCCGGATTCGCAGATGGCATTGCTGGAAAGGGGTCTCCTGATCCGGACCTCAGCATGGCTGTTACCCACTTTTCGGCCAAAATCCTACGGATTTTGAACATCCTTCGGCCACTTTTGCCAATTTTGGTCCGGATTTACGAACAGCATATATGGGGTATTATCAGGGGTCCTGAATCACCTCCTTCGGATCGTTACTGTACATGGCGTCTGAGCACAACTTGAAGAAATTGTGAACCTTCACACAATCCGTGGTCTTCTAGCCAGTCGATATATACCATTTAGCATTTAGTAGCAGCGGAATATTGGATGCAGTTCTATAGAGGATGATCCCGGTATGTGTTGGCTATTCTATTTTATTGCTGATTTCTCTCCGCATTCCAGGCTTTCTCCCTTCACCTGATCACACATCTCTCGACTCTCCCCCTTCCCAACGCGTCCCTCGACGCTCATCGCCACCCTCTCTATCGACAGCAATCGCGTTAAACAATGCATTCTAATTCTCTCGGTTCCCTCCAATTCCACAAACCCTCGACTGACTTGATGATTCAACCTTGTCGCTCGCTTTTTGCGGGCAATCCATTCCCCAAGCAACTAATGCATGTTGCTCAGACCTGTCGACATTCTCTCCTCACCCAACCCTCTTGATGGAACCCACATATTCGATCCGACCCTCCTGCACGTCATTCCCTCGCTTTGTTTCTCCAACTACGCACTCTGTCGTCTTGTAGGTTCTATGATTAGGCAAGCCTCAGACGACGGGATCCACTTGGACCTCAGGCGTAGTTGTCGACACCCAACTTTACCATTTCAAGGCCATCTCGTTAGTCCCCCCAGTCTCTGCCCTCACCCTGAATTTCCCTTCCAAGCTGATCTGTTTCGCGCTGTATGTCCTCGATCAGACCCTCTGCTCCCTTCGACTCGTGTCCTCGTTCACTCGTGCTTCCAATGCTCGCTTGACGTTTTCCGCCTCCTTCGTCCCTTTCTCAGTGCTCTGGCCTCATTGATATCTTAGTGACGGTATCGCATCTCAAACCTTCTCATCAGACGACTGTTTTTCGGTGGCGTTGGAATCGTAGGAAGAGTGCTCGGTTGAGTACCGAGTGTCAGCAGCTAGCGGATTGTGAGGATAAATTTTGGTATGTGTTCAGTTGTCTATTTCCATATTGATTTCCCTCTCACCCATCCCTCGTTATCTAGCGTTTCACCCCCTTCTCATGTCTCAGAGACACCCCTTGTCACTCGTCCCCACTTTCTACCATTCACCATCAACAGCGCCTGTCTGGGTCAACGCAGACCATCTGATTCGACTATCTTTGTCGAATCAGTTGTTCGCATTTCCCGCACAAGCCACCTCTACAAGCAATCAACATAATCCGCACCCAGACCCCTCAATGCTCTCACATCACGACTCGACTCTCCTGCTTTACCTTGCTTTTCTGGCTGCAGACTACTGAAGTCCCAGGCGACCGGACACTCTCAAGCCTCAGATGTCGTACTCGACGAGTCTTCAACCTGTGAACGTTCCCTGCCTTAGCTCACAATGCATCGATGCACATTCAGACAATTTCTCGTCTTTGTGGATATGGAGACCGAGATGGCTTATTCTGTTTAATTACGACCTCGGTACGGCTCCAGCTTACCAATCCCTCGAAGAATCTTGTCGTCATTCCCGTCGTTTCTTTGCCTTCACTCACTGTACGTCGTCAATATCCCATATCACAACTAACGGTCTTACACCATGCTCTTACTTGGTTTCAGGATGGGAGAGGACCAGTTGCGCTCCATGTTTCATCTACGCTCTGACGCCTTTAATCGCCATGGCTGCCAGCTCATTCTTAGACTCGCGAGCACTCAACCGAAATTTCACCGTCCTATTGGCCACACGCCTCTGCCATCTTTTATCAGAATACGAGGATTTGCCTACTTTGGTCAATGAAGCGCGATTTCACAGGCTTGCGGTTGATCAGGTTCTGTAGACGGTCAAACGAGCGTTTCTCGATTCGCATTTTCCACTCTGCAGATACAAACCACGGACGTATGCGCGTTTTCGAGTCTTGCATATACAAAAGAGTGTATCGTGACTATTCGTCCCAGCCACCTCATTCGTATTCGCAGACCCGTTGGCTTGAGTTCTGGGACAGCCTTGCGTTCGTCGCGGTGCATCTTCAATTGGGTGTATCAGCTGTTTCCACAGGTTTGTCAGACACTCTCTAGAGCCAGAAACTGAAGAGATGAAGACCTGGACCATGCACCGCATGTTATGTGGTCCGTTGTTCGCAGACGGCGAATACCACTCCTGAGACCACTGTCAACCGGTTCAGAGGATTGTCATTCGGGAGTTCAGCAATTTGCACGCGTCCACTCGTGTGCATCAACTATATGTATCTCACGACAACTGGAACTCATCTTGTAAGTCACGCGTTCCTACCTTCGCCGCTGATACACGCTTTCTAGACTGTACAATACTACCCGCAGCTAGAGCTGCCCTATTAATCATACCCATTTCTACTCTGGCTACTCATTGGTCTCTGCAGTGACAAGGATATTGCATGAACACCTAATCCTATGCCCATCACAGCGCGACTTTTGTACATCGGTGTGGCCTTCTGACAAGTACGTGTTCTAACGCAACTTGCCTTTTTCTCTACATGACTTCCTTTCCTAGCCGCATTCGCAGACTTGATGCCTCCGCGCTCTCACCTCTCGTCCCTGAGAATTGCAACAAGACAATGGAGGTGGAGTCAAGGACGGCAGTGCTCGCGACATTGCTGCGCTATGACCGTGTTTCTGGTACGACCTGTATTCTACGAGGTAAATTAATGCAGCGTCCTTGTACATCACGTCATGCTTGTCACTTCACGCTCTCGCAGTTCTAAGCCTACATGCGGCTGACCAATGCTCCAAATGGCTCACGCGCTGTATTTCGTGCTAAGAAATTTGTTCTATACTATAGCTCCTCAGCTTTGTTGAATATGCGTTGTACGTTACACACGATCTCCCGATGATCCACGGCTGGCTATAGGTAAGTGTCTCCTTGCGTAGTCTATACAAGGCGATACCGAATTTCGGGACGAGATAGTGCACGTTGTCGTAGGCTACACTTCGCCCGCGATTCCAAGAGCCATGTGTCTGCTGATTTCACAACTGCCTTGAAACAACAACGCGAATGCGAGATCAATTGCCATCGACTAGAAGACATATACACGATCTCTGCCTGTTTGTGAAGATCAGTGGCGTCAAGAACGTTTGTCGCAGTTGATAAATGTTGGACCTCCAACTAAGCCAATAAAGCTGACCTTGAGATGGGAGAATTTACGGGTGGCGAGTTAGATAACGAAGATGCGTTTCGCCCGTTTTGCTGCAGGCTGTAAGTACGTCGAGTTGAAGATACCAGTAGGTCAAGAGGTTACTTGGACGCTCAGATGTGTAGTCATTTCATGACAGCCTTCGAGGTTTTCGAAGTTTATTTACAGTTCCATCTTTGTGAGGATCTGACAAACCTATGACCGTCATGAACAGACAGGGCGTAGGTTGGCTCACATAATCGGGGTCTAGGATTATGTATATAAATCTGAGCAGTGGTCAACGTGACGTCGATGGTGAGATCAACGCCCTATGTGTTACTACGCATCCAACTAAACTTGCAGCTACAAACGGTACCAATTAATGGCGCTCTTCAACATTGTGATCCGAGAGAGATTGGCAGGAACAGGAGATCCCATACAGTGAACAACCTGAACGAGTCAACGGGTTGCATAGAAGTGATTGAAAACATGGTCAATCCCATCCAACTGGTTAGTCAAGTCGTCGCCATCCAAGAAGAAAGACTATAAAGACAATGATCAGCTTCAGCACTATTCAGGAAAGACGTGCTCGGTATACCTGCAGCTCTTCTTCCGCCAGGGCATCAACGGCGGGCTCAGACGAGTCTCGCACAGCACTGGACTCAGAATTACGTCGAGATTCCTGCAGGGTTGGAAACGGCATAATTAAACACGACTCGCTACTGGAAAATGCTCTTCAGAAATACAGACTCACATCCTTCGATGAACGTATAGATGAAGAGGTGGAGGCGGAACCGAAAAAGATCGAGAACGAATCCGATACTAATGAAGCAGAAGGTAGACCGGGACTACCCCCAAGTAGCCAACTGTCGGGTATAGGCTCGTACGCGGCCCATTTCAGCTGCACAGGAGGGATAGGGATAGGCTGAGTCTGTATCTTTGCATCACTCATCATCTCAGCTTCGGCTTCTACTGCCTTCTCCTTTCCTTTCGCCACGTGGATCGCACCCCCAGAAGGGTTTACGCGACTGCACCGGCTTCGATGTGGCCAACATCGTCTCGTAGATGGCGAGTTTTGGCAGTTTTCTGTCGAGTCTGAGCCTCCAAAGCATTCCAGTCTTGACCTGCAACTTCTAGAAGGAGACATCCATCATTCGCTAGTCGATCTGCGTCTTCATTGCCCTCATAATATTTGTGTCCTACGACGTAATCCAATTCGACCTAACCGAACACCATAGTAACTCACAATGAGTTCTGCGCGGTTATTCGTCTGGGCTCCTAGACATCGTTCGGCTCCATTTCTACAGAATGTACAATTGAAGATAACCCAGATGCAGAATGCTTTAAGCTTCCCTGTGGTCCCCAGGGCCCCATCACACGCTGATCCTGGCTACCGCATTCGCTCTGCCACTGTTCTTGCAAGCGCCATCGCGATGAACGGTGATCCAGCCCTCCCTAGGGGAGGCGGCTTTCTGATTGTTGGTACCGCGCATAAGCCTCTAAATGACGCAGAAAACCTCATTATCAACTGAATGGCGCCATCAACATGTAATGATAAGAGATAGACCACAAAAGCACGTACCATGAATGAACAGTCAGAGTGTTCGAGTGTCATGTGGATGACAAGGATGGAGATGTAGGGCGAGATGACTGAGCTGGACAGCTGAGACGCGGCGTATATGCAGAACTCCGGCTTAGACTCCTGGCCCGCTCCGAGAGGATGGAACTGAAACCCGAACCAGTTCTACCACCGAAGGAGTGGAAGATGAAGAATCCATGCAGACACATGCAGTTGTCCGCCAGGCAACCTACTTCGTTCATGACCGAGCCAATCAGATCCTTGCCAACCGTGTAGTGTCTGCGAGGATCTAAGTTGACGGCGCGACAGACGGCGCCGTTGCTCAATGTCATGATCAAGATGGATTACCGTTGTGAGCAGTGTCCCCCTTTCCAGAAAGCACCATTTACGTTGAAGGAGAGACCTATGTGTGGCTCACCTTCACGTCGTCAATCGCGCTGAGCTCAGGATCGACACAAAAAAGAACGTAGGACGTATGAACCTTATGCAGCCTCAAGAAAACAAGTGGAAAGTCAGCTATTATGACAATAGTAGAGTCGAACGCTGATGACTGAAATGCAGAGAAATTAGAGGGATGCGCAAATCAAACCTTACGGCTGCCCGTTCGTTGAGCAACCGATCGATGTGTTTTGGGACACCTAGAGTGCTCACGTCGCCTTGTTTAAACATCTTGTATTTGTTTCCGTGCCATTTTGGAAGCGAATCTTTGAAACCTACTCTATAGAAGACGATCTGAGCTGAAACCGGCAGGCGTGAAACAGCAATGTACCCACACCGCATGCTATACTTCGAGTCTGTTTTGGTGAGGAGATGTTTGATCTTCAGCGTCGTCTCCAGTACTCAATTGATTACCGACAAAATAATTCAGCGCAGCGGTACGTCAAGAATGTGGCTATTTACGATCAATTATTACTTCATCCTCCCGGACAGCATTCTACGATATTCCTATCACCTCATCAGTCAACAGTAAAACAAGCTGCTAAAAACATTGACCGACCTTGGATCCCCTTGGCCCCACCACACGCTAACTCCTGCGACAGGTCCTGGCTTCCCATGACCCGTACATGCACCATCAGAGCAGACAGTAAGCCACCCAGAGCGGCCCATGAGAACTCATGAGTCTGTCCCTCCCTGCCTTTCGCAGATGAAGCTTGCAGAGCATTGCGTTATTGCTTCGGCCTCAACGAAGCACTGAGTCCAGTAATAGCCGTAGTAGATAACATTAAAGAGCTGGACCCGCGGAACTGAGCAATGAATGACTCTGCCTCGGCGACGGAGTTGAACCCCCGATTGCATCGAGAGGGTGCTCCTCTCACTTGTCTGTATTGAAACTGCCTAAGAAGAAACCAAGAACACTATGACTACATACCACGATTGACATATACCAGGAATGCGATATAAATAGTACTAATGTCTTCGCTTTGAGGGCCGATGCTCGCATTCAAATGCAACACTTGGAAGTTTTCACCTTCGGCATACTTGTCTCAGTCGGAGGTTATGGCTCTGATAGGGAAAGACGTAAACGACATCTTACCGTGCAGACAATTCATGATGCAGCGTGAGCGTCGTGAGCCAGGTTTGTGGTGGTGAGGGAACAGGAAATGATCGACAGTGATCGAGGACTTTACCACGTGGCATGAGCAACACTCCTCGACTTACTGACGACTGGCCACCAGTTTCTGTGACAAGCCTAGCTACATGCGAATGCATCTAGTCCCCTCGGGTTTGTATCGACAGCGGATCTAATCAGGTACAGAGGATGAGCCCGCAGTATGTAGTCACTTCTCTGTTTACTTGCTGATCTCTCTCCCCATCCTAGTTCCCCCGATCACACGTATCTCGACTTTGTGGCTTGTCTCGTCTCATTTCCCATCTCTTCTGGTCTCCCTCTCCGTTCCCCTTTCCCATACATCTTGTCCTCACTTTTTCTGCCAGCAGCAATCGCATCAAACAACACAATGCTGGCCTCGACAGCTTCCCTTGATATACCGGATATCTCAACTGACTTGCCGATTCAGTCTTGTCGCTCGCGTTATGTGAACAATCCATAGCAGCAAGTAACGAACACATCCCTTGCGATTCAAACGATCCCTTAGAACTCTCGACATCAACATTCTCGATCGGACCTACACTTCATCCACCTCAATTAACCTACTCATATTCATTTACTTTCAAGGTCCCATGACGTTTGTGATTATGAGTATGTACATTTGCTGTTCTATGACCAGTTGTCCCTGATCATCTTGAATCTGATTGCTCATCGAAGTCTACACTGCTCGGCTTCTCAGGCTTTCAGTCAATCCGATCGTATCGATGTTCACCGCTCGTATCACGTCTGTGATTTGTGAACACAGGGCTTGGACGGCCTCAAGTCTTCAGCCTACAAATAACTTCTCAGTACTGGCCGCTTGACCTACAAGGTCAACGGACTTGCACACTGAATGACACTGAGGCACTTTTACGTTTATCATGGTGCATTTCCACTTACATCTTCCTGCTTGCCTCTCGGACATTCGATTGAGACTGAACCTCAACGGACCAACACCTCAACTGCGTGGTGAGCCGGCGTGTTCGGGGATGGCGATAACAACACCTGAAACCATCATGAATGAATCTGAAGGAGGTTTGTCGTTGCAGGACATGGATGGGCGATCTTAGAATGTGCGTCTACAACCCTTTGACAATCAATGCCAGCGAGTTTCGACAACTCGCACATATCCGCTTGTGTTCATGTAGTTCATGCCATTGGGTTCATTGGCGGTGCAACCTGACTGCAGACTCTTGGAAGATAACTAGCCCATATCACAGCTTCTTGCCTTGTTTCGCTATGTACTTGCATTCTGCCTTCTCTCACTTCACCCCGATTTGTGTCGCTGTGTATGACAGCTTGTCTACCTACTGAATAAAGTCTGTTGCTTTCGTAGGCTCCGCTATCTACATCGTGAATCGCTTGAATCTCCTCATGCAGAAAGAGTGCGTGAGGTCATCCGAGTGAGTCTGTGATCTGGATGGGTGTTGGTCACTATGAGATGGGTTTGCGAGTTGAGAAAGAAAGCATCATGGTCAAGTGAGGTCACTGTCAAGGTGAGGTGACCTGAAGATTAGTTGCGAAGATGGCGGGATAGACCCTGAACTCCTAGTGTGATTCTTAGCAACTGAGTGGAGAAGAAAGTTCCACAACTTATCACATCTGCTCAGATGTTATCAGAAGTGGCCTTATATATATATACAAGCACTTTGCTTGGATGGTGAACACTCAGCATCTCTGAACTTTTCTCTTCTTCTGTTTTCAACAGTCTCAAATCTTCAGCCAATCCACATTCCACTCAACCATGTCAGAGCTGAGTCCCACACCAGATGAAATCATCTCACAGATGTGTGTCATGCTTACCAGACTCAATGATACATCTATTGCTAATTGCCATAATTTAGTTCACAGGATTATCTTGTAGACTATATCCTTCTTGCAGCACTAGGTCTGTTTCAATTGACTTCACTATCTATTATACATTGCAAATAGTTTATATCCTAGCTCTGCCTGTCTATGATGCTCTATTGACATGGCCTCAAGAATGGAAGTGCATCTGGAAGAGAAGATTCTCTGCAGTCACTCTTCTCTATGTCCTCATCAGATATGGCACTATTCTGGATATATTTTTTCAAATCTTTGATAGCTTTTGGATTTTTACAACTGCTTCTGTGAGTCATTATATTTGATAAATTATTGCATTCAAATTCTAACTATTCTATAGAGGTATCATGATTGTCTTCTAATGACTCACATTGATAATAATCAATATGCTTACTAGCTGTAGAGCTGTGGCCATTTTGGACTATATTATTATAATAGTATGTGCTTTTGCAGTTGCTGGCAAGTATCTATTGCTTAATGTAATATGCAATGAGTGTATAATTCTTTTTGATCTAGCCTTTAACTGTCTGCGCATTTGGGCCATCTGCAGACAAAGATGGTTTCCAGTTACAGTTGTGTTTATACTCAGCATATTTACTCCATGTGAAAATATAGTACAGTATATTTCTTTCTTCTAATCTTCAAGCTTCTTATTCTATATATTCTTGCAGTATAATTTTTCTAGACCACAAACTTGGATCATTGAATCTTCTGGACCACTAGCAGGCTGTTGGACTATAGTTGCTATTGAAATATATCAATAGTGAGTATCTGCATTTTCAGCTACTATCTAATGACTTACTTTATCTCTAGCTGTTTGTGCTTAGCATTATTATGGCTTGATCTCTGCTAATATATCTTATTACAGTGCCTATCATAACTAGAGCTATATCTGTTGTAACAGATCTGGCAATACTTGTATTTACTCTTCTTGAGACAGTTCACACCTGGAGAATGGGCCAATCTGCACAGACAAAGACCAAACTAACTACAATGCTAATATATAATGGTATGCTATCTACCACTCTGCAATGTATAATATCAATTTGAATTACTTGCATTTATGCTTTAGGAGCACTTCAATTTCTGTATGTTCTCTTAATTGTTTACTAAAATGATAGCTCTAAGTTCTTCTCTAGTGTTTTTTTTGATACTGAATACTATTTCAGTGATACTGGACATACTGGCAGTTGCAATAACATTCAATGTAAGTATTTTTATTCCTTTTCTTTCTATAGAACTCATGTCTATATATTTCAACAAAGGCCTCTAGCACTGCATCTAGCTTTATCACAATTAATGACAGGCATGTTGTTTAATTATATTTAGCAGCTATGTACTAATTCAATATAGTGTAACCTCAATTCTTCTCTGTCACTTTCTTCTGGACTTGCGCTCTGTCAATGAATCAGATAGCACTACATCCAGCTCTAATCAGCAAAATTCCACTGGCAGTATTCACTTTGCTGGCTCAATTCTTGGCAACATGGGTGCCACAGTTGATGCACCATGGGCAGCTGAAGAAAATGAAGATGAAGAGATAGATGCAGAAGAAGATCAGTCTTTTATTCACTCTGGCAATTTGTCTGCCATTGAGTTGGTGAAGACTATGGCTAGACAAGTGAATGAGCAAGAGAATGCAGAAGCTGGGTGAGATTTCATTTTTATCTTATTTCTTTGCAATACTCAGAATCTTTCTTACAGACCTTCTGGCACTCACAATCATGAAGAACCCATTTCTGCTGACATTGTTGAGATTCCTGTGGATGTGGTCTAGTTCTGTCACATATTGTCCTGCTCTTTATTTATATTCTCCAACAGTTCTCACTCTGTATCTTATCTATTGTATTTGCCACTTGCCCCCTCTCCATTTTTTTTTAACTATCAGAGTTCCTCTTTGCAATATTCTATATCTTGCTATATTTCATCCATCATCATGAAGATGGGCTGTAAGCAGCATGCTCTGCAGATAATGATACAGACCTGTGAGTAATCTATTAAGAATATACAGGCAAGACTATGAGACAGACTATGATACAGAGTTAGTGTGATACATACAATTGCAAAAACATCAACAAGCCATCACGAAGCCATCAAAAGCCACCTCCACAACTCTCCACAACCAACTCACAGTTCGACCTTCGCCTGATCCGCCTTCTTCTTCGCCGCCTCTACCTTCTCATTCCAATACTTCTTCCCAGCACTCGAATACTCCGCCGACTTCGCTCCAGCCTTACCCTTAGCCTCTGCAGTCTTGTCAGAAGCATACTCATAGGTATCACCGGCCTTTGCCTTTGCCTCACCAGCCTTCTGACCTGCGTAGTCTTTCCCCTCGGCATATTTTTCGTTGACATAGTCTTTCGTCGCATCCTGGGCCTCGTTGGCACGAGTCTTGGCAGACTCGACATGTCCGGTGAGGATATCAAGAATCTGTGGATAGCAAATGTTAAAAAGAAGCCTGAAATGAAGACGGCGTGAACGCACTGTTCCAAGCTTTTCCTCGGCTGCCTCAACGCCACTGGTGATCACCTCACGGATGGTCGCGAAGAGTGCTTCAGCACGAGTGGTCGTTTGCACCCATCGAATACGAACCTCCTCTGCAACAGGTCGTATTAGAATACGGACTCTTGAATGTATCGAACGACGTACGAAGAAGTCCGGGGCGAGACGTTGGCAGTGCCGCGTCCGAAATGCCGTGCTCGCGAAGGTAGGCGCGGAGACGAGCATCGGGCCACACGAGATAGGCAGCGGTACGTGTGGAGGCGTCATTGTATCTGCGTACCAAGCTCAGAGATACAGTAATACTAGCACGAGTCAAGAAAACATACTTGGATTCCATCAAGTCGACAAGCTCTTCACGAGTCTTCTGAACGTCGCTCTTGAGATATCCATTGGCAATTAGCCAATCGCGCATATCGCTGTCCTTCCAACTCGACCAAATCGTGTCCTTTGCGTTGGCGTAGTGATCAGCGATCAACTTTTCCAGCTTCTCACGCTCGACCTGCGCGTCGGTCTTGATGATACCGTGGTCGATGAGCCATTTATGAATTTGTGAATCGGACCAAGAAGTGTAGACAGTATCCTTCAACTGAGGGCGCGTCATCAAGCAAAGCACCTAGTGGACTACGATGTCATCATACCTTGTTGTCGTAGTAATACTTCTTCATGTCAGACACGAGCTGATCTCTGGGCTTGTGTTCATCTGGGTGGAGAATGCCATGGGAAACGAGCCATTCATGCTGGAAGATATCATGTCAGTCAAGGGAGCATCATGTCCTTCAGATGAGGACTTGCAATGTAGGAGTCGGACCACGCTTTCCAGATGGGGTTCGTTGTCTGCGAATAAGTCTCTCGCATCTTCTCAAGGAGTTCATCTCGAGTAGCCTGTTGCTTGGTCTTTATGACACCCTTGTCCTCGAGGTACTTTCGAAGACGGTTGTCGTCCCATCTATTACAATACGTGAGTAACACGGAGATGGACATGTTGCAGGATGCTCACGTTGAGTATACATAGTCCTTCGAGTCATCAAGCTTCCGCGAGGCATCGGAGGTGGCCTGGGCAACATAGGAGCTGACCGATTTTGATGCTTGAGACTTCGAGTCTCCGTAAAGAGCAGTATAGGCGGTATCGCTAGCTTGACTTGCAAGCGAAGACGCACTGGCAGAATACGAGCTAGCGGCGCTACTGTACAAGTTATACTTCTGCTTTGCTAGAAGGACAAGCTGCTCGCGAGTACCACTCGGTGCTACGACGCCCTGTTCAAGAAGGAACTCTCGGAGACGGGATTCGTCCCAAGTATCGAACGCGTCGACTTTGAGACCTTGAAAGAGGGCCTGCGCCTTGGCAAGCTGTTCAGAACTCCACGCTGATGGTGACGTCTCAGTTCGTTTAGCAGAGCTAAACCAAGAGGCTTGCGCAGTAGACGCGCCAAGCGCGAATAGGAGAAGAATCGTCGGCCTCATTTTAGAACGTATGCAAGGAGAGCGACGACGACGGCGACGAAGATGAACGTTTGGAACAAGCCGAGAAGTCGAGGTCGATGCTTATAAGGCGCGGTTGTTCCATGTTGAATAGTGGAGGACATGTCGGATGACGCAGAATAGACACCATGACGGTAGCCACCCCAAATGACGCACATACAGCATGACCCTAACCTCAATGCTAGCTTGTCACACCTGCATGTAACGGTGTGACATTTTTTCATGTTCTCGGGCGCGCCTTATCGAGGAGAAACGATTCATCAAGGCTATCACCATTCCACGCGCCCCCGTCCAAGACGATGCTCCATATCACAAGCGAAAATTGGCGGCGAGAACATCTGCCCAGGGGCGCCGCTTCGACCATGTCGGTAGCCTTGACCGCTAACCTCCACCATCCCTTGTGATCAGCTCGACTCTCACGATATCGACTGTCCACAAGCTCGGTCTTTCCTTCTCAAGCGATAGGAATCCGCGCGTTCTGTGGTCAAGGTTTAGTCCCTCGTTCCAGCTTTTCAGAGCTCCGTGTATCTGGATTGGAAATTTAGTTATACAGCTCGTACGTGTAACCGACATCCACCATGGATGCTTCAGGCCCTCGCAATGTCTCTGCTGAAAAGCAAGCAAACTTCAAAACCGAGTCTGTACACAGCCGTATCAGCGCGGACGATGATGATAAGGTCCTGGAACAAATTGGCTATGTCCCCTCCTTCCGGAGGGAGTTCTCCAACTTAGCCACGGTGAGCTGGAAAACGAGTGCTTCACGGGACTATCGCCTTCTGACAACTGCTTGAATAATTCAGATCAGTTTCGCTTTCAGTATCATGGGCCTTTGTTCCAGTATTGCGACTACTTTCAATACCCCATTGACACTAGGCGGACCTGCGTCAGTAACGTGGTGCTGGATCCTTGGAGCTGTCATGTGCTTCACGCTAGGTAGATACAACGCGCCTTTTTGCTTTACGCTTGTCCCTCATTTTTTTTTCTTTTTCCTAGGTTCAAGTATCGCAGAGATTGTCAGCGCGTTCCCGACGTGTGGCGGTCTGTAAGTACTCTATCCTCTCTGCCTCGATCCACGCAGCGAAATTCAACTAACTAAATGCCTGTCAAAAACACAAAGGTACACTGCATCAGCGCGGCTTTGTCCCCCCAAGCACCGTGCCATCGTAGGCTGGATCGTCGGTTGGCTAAACATCCTCGGTGAGATTCTACACTTGGAGTTGTGTTCAACACTACCGAAGTTGTCCCTGAACTTTGCTAACCAAGACGCATATATACGCATATAACCACTTATAGGTCAAGTTGCCGGTATTTCCTCCACCGAGTTTGGTCTCGCGAACATGATTTGGGCCGCAGTCGTCGTTGCCAAGGTATACCATAGTGTTAGATGTCGAAATGCTATAACAGATTGACTTTGTTTCTATCAGGATGGAGACTATGTCGTTACCTCAGGCAAAGTAGTTGGTCTTTTCGCAGGTCTCCTCGCCTTCCATGGTCTTCTGGTAAGCTTTCATGCCTTCAGTATCAACTGCACTTGTCCTCAATATGACTCCTTCGTTTAGAACTGTCTCGCCACTCGATACCTCGCGCGATTTACCACCGGCTTCGTCTTTGTCAATCTCGGAGTAACTGCCCGTACGTTTACTTCCTGTTGACTTTCACTATCCGTCCTCGTGGAAGTTTGCTCAACCAATCTCAACTGATTTTGTGGGCTACAGTCATCGTCATTGTTCTCCTAGCAATGACACCACGATCTGAGATGCATCCTGCCAAATACGTCTTTGGTTCCGACGGTTTTGTAAATGGAACGGGTGGATGGAATGACGGTATTGCGTTCTTATTTGGGTTGCTGAGTGTTCAATGGACTGTAAGTGATGACATGAGACTATCAGCTTTTTGCGTTATGATTTAATAATTCTTCATGTTTGATGTGTAGATGACGGTAAGCAAAGCTTTCACAACCTACGTTCCTGAGCTTGTCAGAATTTACTAGGTTGGAATGTTAGGATTATGATGCAACTGCTCATATCTCGTAAGTCTCGATTTCCCCGTGAGCCCCCGTGGATATCCTTTAATCATTGAAATGTCCTTTTAGTGAAGAAGTCAAACGTGCAGCTTATGCAGGTATGTTTCACATTAACCCTTTTGGAAGAGCATATATCGACCTTTTGGCTTGTCGGGACAGCTCCTTCGGCCATCTTCATCGCAGGTATGTCGCAGGACAAGTTCCCGCTTTGTAAATCGAAATTCTGAATGTCATTCGCGTTTGGTATAGTTGTCGGAACCGGTTTGATTGGTTGGGTCCTTAACATTGTTCTGGTTCTCTGCTCCGGACCTCTGTATGTTTTTTCCCGCTTTTTTTCAATGCCCATATATGCATGCTGAAGTGTCAATTTGATTACCACAGTGAGAATCTCACAACAGCTTCTGGCTCAGCCTTCCTCGAGGTTCCGTATCTTTTATTGCTATCAGTGCGTGAATTCGCGACTCACGAGATATATGACAGATCATGGCGCTTCGAATCGGAAAACCGGGTGCATTATTCCTCTGGGTAAGTACAACCTGATATACTCCATATTTGAACGCCTGTTCTAAAAAGAAAATAAATAATGCTATTCAGACTTTCGTATGCCTCACCGCGTTCTTCGTATGTCAAACTGCACTTCAAGCTTGTTCAAGGACGGTATACGCATTCAGTCGTGATCATGGTAAGTTGCAACCCTTTCCCCTCTTTTCGATCTCGCACGTTCAAAACATGCATGTTCATATTCCTTCTTTCAGGACTTCCGGACCGAGGGTACTTCGGACATGTCAGTTCGTGGACAATGACCCCTTTGCGTGCGATCTGGTTCACGACCACCCTAAGCGTCATTCCTGGTCTACTGGATCTCGCAAGTCCTGTGGCGGCCAATGCTATCTTCGCGCTTACGGCTATGGCTTTGGACTTGTCTTACATCATCCCCATCTTCTTGTATGTTTTTTTTTTCTCACTGCCTTCGGTCCTCGGTCCTGCATTCGATGTTGTTGATAACTGATAACTGATAACTGATGATTCTCCTGTGTGAAGGCGTCGATGGTATCGCAATCATCCGGAGGTGAACTTCAAGCCTGGTCCGTTCTATATGGGCGATGGGTTACTTGGTTGGGCGACCAATGTGATTTGTATACTGTGGACTCTGTTCGTTTGTGTGCTTTTCTCGTTGCCGACGATGTTGCCTGTCACTGCGGTGAATATGAACTATGCTTCGGTATGTGCATACATAATCCTCTCGTAGTTTTTGTTTTCCCCGAAGAGGCTCATACGTTTTTGTTTTGCGATGAAGGTCATCACGGGTGGAGTTGTCATTGTCTCAGGGTGAGTTCACCGATAGCTTGATATCTCTTTTGATCGCTCGGCACTGACTGTTATTGATATCTCGTCTGATAGAGCGTGGTACCTCCTTGGGTACGTGTTCCCAGTAGTTTTCCCAACCTTATCAATCTCTGACGCCTTCATTGTCATTATTTGTTCTTATTCTAAAGCGGCCGGAGACATTACAAAGGCCCAAGTTCCAATGTCCCTCATTACGAGGATGCAGCCACGTTCGGCGATCCAAAAGAAAAGGAGGAGCAATTGGGTGTGGAACATGCTTAAAAGTTCCTCTCTCCTTCCGCTCTCCATCCACTCTCCCATCTACCAACCTATATATCCTATATATATCCGATATATCTTTACCCGTTACGTCTTCCATCGTCCCACCACCCCACCGTTTCTTGTTTTTAGCATGATCCTGAACGACAACGCACGAACCTCGATCTACGTTTTCAACAATGCTCAGTGCTGTATTTGACCTGCTGCAACCAGCCCCATGTAATGTACCCTCGTACACCCTCGTATGCTGTAATACCCAGAGAACCCTTTGTGTAGGCTGACCCTCGGAAATGTTCAACACATTCAATCACGTCGTTGTTCTCCCCTTGCGTATCTACAATTGGTAAGCTTTGAACATGACGGGCATACCAGCTCGTATCCTCGACGCACCCGGTGTATTTTATGAATCTGGTCAACCAAACGTCAAGGACACGTCGTCGAACACTCTGAACATGGGCTTTGAACGAGGGGGGACATGACGGTGTTTACATTTTACAGCACCGCAAGGATTTCATGGTGATGCTGAAGGTTGGTCAGTGCTACAGTTACGTTGAATGATGCAGGCGCTTTCGGCAATGACTCGTTGAGGCAAATATTGAAGTTTTGAAGAGGCAATGATTCCATTGGCGTCAGGCTTTCGACCCCAACGACAACGTTGTGGAAACGTTGCTCATTCATCTTCCTGGCATCGCCTTACAAAGACTTGAAAACAAGTAAGTTCTTGACCTCTTTCTGTCTACCATCACTATGAGTAAGCCATGAACTTGCCTTATTCTGCTTATCTGCCAACGGCGAACGCTCTTTTGAACGTAACCTTCCTTTTAGAGTTTGGACTCAGAGTCCACTCATTGGTCCGTCGAACTTCGACGATGATTCTCTCCTGGTGTCTATGTGACTGAAGATGAAGCCTCTTTTCGCTTACTAACTCTTATGCTGACCATAACACCATCAACCGGTTTGCGGAACCGTTGGTGGGTGCAGGTTCGTACGTATAAGATGCAATGAGTCGTTGCCAGTGGTTGGATTCTGCATCCTCTCATTCTCTAGTACTCTAAAAACTCATAGGTTGTTCGAGCGCACTCAGACTTTCCTCTGATGTCTTCCGCTCCTTCTATCTGTGACACCGAAAAGACGGCCTGCGTACTGGACGCTCCCACACTCGTTGAGGCTTCGCAACTGCAAGAGAAGGCACCCGTGTCATCTCGACCTTCACCAAAGGGCTGGCAGAAAGTTGCCATCGTGTCAGTTCTGTCCTCTGCGCAGTTCTTTGATATCTTCAATGCATGTGCCTCTATCGCTGCTCTACCTTCGGTGAGTAACACTACGCAATTCTATACGCATTTCGAATTAACGGAGTAAAACTCTCGCAGATTGGAACTGCCCTGAACTTCACTCCTGGAGTCCTTCAATGGGTTCTCGCAGCTTACACCCTCACATTCGCCTCCCTCCAAGTCCCCGCCGGACGTCTTACCGACCTCTACGACGCCAAGCTCATTTTCTGCATCGGTTATCTCGGTCTTGGACTATTCTCCATTCTATGTGCTGTTAGCGTTCATCCTATCATGTTGGTCGTCTTTCGTGCCATTTCAGGCATTGGCGCAGCGATGACTATACCGTCTGCTATCGCAATGATCGTCCATAATTTCCCTGATCCTAAGGAGCAGAGTGCTGTACTCGGAATATATGGAGCCTTTGGGGCCATTGGGAACGCTGGAGGGTTCGTGATCGGTGGGATTGTATCTGCGAAAGCGTCGTGGAGATGGGTGTTCTATATTATTGCCATCGCTGCCATTCCATTCTCCGTCTTCGCGTACTTTTTCCTACCAAAAATTGAAAGTGCACAGAAGGAGAAGCGGAGCCTTGACTTTCCTGGAATCTCCATCCTTACGGGTGGTCTCATCCTCCTGGTGTACGCTCTTTCGGATGGAAGTGATCAGGGATGGGGTACCCCTCAAATCATTGTCACTCTCATGTTCTCCATCGTCTTCTTCATCGCATTCTTCGTTGTCGAGCGTATCACCAAGGATCCCGCTCTTCCTCCTCGTCTTTGGCATATCACGAATCTCGCAGTGATGTTCTTCTACTCGATGAGGTATGTAGTTCGCATCTAGTATATTCCAAGGTGCTGCGGACTGATATCTGTTGTGTTTCGTTTTATTTTTGCAGCGTTTATTGGAACCTCTTCGCCATTGAGCTCCAACTGACCAAAGTCTTCCAAGATCTTTTCCTATGGTCTCCTTTCAAAGCCGCTCTACATTTCCTTCCCTTAGGTAAGTACACTATATTTCATGATCTGAACCTGTACTCACTCTTTTATTCAGGTATCACTGGCGGCATAAGCGCAACGCTTGCAGGACAATACGGTCATCTCATTCCTCGTCGAATTCTACTAGTGGTTTCGCAGATGCTCATGCTGGTCGCAAGTATCCTGCTCGCTCTGGCGCACAGTCCCGATCGATACTGGTCGTATGTCTTACCAGCCATGATCATCAACATGGTCGGTCTGGCTGGATCATATGTCGGTGCTACCGTTACAACGATGGCAAGCGCACCGAAGGGCGAGGAAGGTGTAGTTGGCGCAGTGCTATACACTACCTTTCAATTGGGATCGACCTTGGGTATCGCTGTCGCAGCTGCGATATCTTTAAGCGTCAATGAAAAGTTGCCGCTAGATGCTTTGTCGCAGTTCACCGGATATGCGGCGTCGTTCTGGAGTCTTGTGGGGATGCATGGTATCATGATCGTTATTACACTACTGTTCGTCCATAATTAGTTCACATTTGTTACCCGATCACGGCCTTGGGATCTTAGACTGACATTCATAACGCTAGATTGCCCATCTTTGTATCCTATAGTTGATAGAGTTGTACTACGTAGAATTAGATATTCCGAGTATAATACGCATGTTTCTTGTTATCAATATCAATCACAGCTCTTGCACTCCTGGCAGTAGCAGACACGCTATGGAGGTCCTTGCGTTCCATAGGGAGGAGCATTGTGATTTTCCGGCGGGTGCTTCTGCACGGACCACCAGAAACTCTGGGCTACGTGAACTCAAAGCTGCAGGAGACGCATGACTAGCAGGCACTATGTTCTAACTGACTATTAGATATATCCATTTAGTTCTGATACTCTCTGGTCGACTCGGATAACTTGTGGCAATTTCATCAGAGCTTCAGGTTGCATGAGTCCGTCTACCATTTGGACGCCACCAACTCAACCCCACTGTTGCAAGCATCGTTATGATGAGAAGGATGGAGCACGAGAAAACTGTTCCTGTCCTGTGTAGAACAAATGGAGGTATCGATGGAGTAACGAGGACGGGATGGTGGGAAGTAGTCTTCGAATACCCGTGGATTGTGCAGCGGTGGATATCAGGAATGTAACGTACGCGATCTGAAGCTCATCCGAAGAGAGGCAAGCAGTGGGTATATTGCGTTGTTTCCGTTGAGAAACCTGGCTTCAAAGTAATTCTCAAATACTCCGCAAGTACTCCGTTTGGTCCATTAAAACCGTTGCCCTTCATACGAAGGAGGAGCCAGATTATCGGGCGTGTAGGACGGCGGCGGGCTGAAAGGGTTTATTGTGGAAGAAGCGGTAATCCGGGGAGCGTCGGAGGCAACGTGTTGAGATAGACCATACGAAAGTGAAGTCAACGTTCGGTGTTCGGTCATACCACCATCATCACGCTGCTCCGGAACAACCAACATCACCTCCTCGTCTGCCTGATTCTCCGACCCTGATGAGGGGCTCGTCCTGTCCTTCCGCCTCCGAAGATATGTAAAAACCCATATGAGTATCACGACTCCAACGAGCGAGCAAGCCACGCTAACAGCGATGATACCGCCAGTGGAAAGAGGACTTGATGAACTCGATGGATTATCGACAGATGCGTAGTAATAGAATCTATGTATGTATGCGTAAGAGCAAACCTCAAGTCTTACACGAGTACAACTTACGCAATTTCTCGTAGATGTAACTCGGGAGGCGATGACGATGAATTTGTGCGATTCTGGGGAATCAGAGTGAGAATGTAGCTATGTGCATCCTCAGGAAGAGACTGATCAAAGAACACGCCACAGCTACTGGAAGTTGAGAACAAGTTCTCGGTGTAATTTGTTTGGTCAACCTGTATTTGGACGGTTCCAGCAGCGGGGTCTTTAGCTCCAGATATTACTAATCTATGGCCTAGAGATAACACTCAACGTAAAAGTAAGCGAATGAGACCCACAACCTACCTTTGAATGAACCAATAACAGCGGAGTTCGGTCTTTTGGTGACATTCGCGGGAGTTAGAATTTCTGCACCAAGTTCGTTCGTACAAGACCCTTCCGCCGCACGAAGCCATGAACCTGACGGAAGAAAGGTCGTGAGGGAAAGATCAATGGACTGTCGTGTTTCGTTTCCATCTCGTCTGCTAAGCATGTGAACGATAATTGTGAACTAGAGAAGTGGACGGGCAGGACGGGAAGTAACGGATAGTTGATGAAATTTCAGCTGAGAGGTTGGTTGGTTGGGGGGCGGGGGGGGGAAGAAAGCTCGAGCAGTAGGTAACTCGACGAATTAATATCCCGCGGGAACGTCTTCGGGGCCCGGTATGAGTTAGATGTTGATCTACGCATAGGCTCGGCGGCAACCCTTGGTGCATTGACACCTTCTATACTTATTGATATCAGTTGCTACTTGTGTGACCATTCGGTCGCGCCGGCGAGAAGGTCCGTCATTCGAGCTGCATAGATTAAATGCCAAGGATGAGTGAATGATATATCTAGCCCCGTTTAGTAAGTAACAGAAGACACAGCTTGTGTTGGAACTAAATCGTCATAGGGCGGAGGAGGGTTCAGATCATGATCGGGGCTGTACAAAGGTGGACGCGACGCGCTATGTTCTGGCTCTGAAGTCACAGACTGGAGAGTTGCTCTCGACGACCTACTATTTGAAGAAGCAGAAGAGACAGGCAACAGAGCTATCTGGTCTGAGGCTAAATGCTCCGAATGGCCATAGGATAATGTTGTTAACGTTCTGTGTTCCGCCATGCCCTCATATGTTGCAACATAACTGGACGGTCGTATCGCAGCTTCAGGTTGCAAGATATTGCTTCGGGACTTTCTCCTTCGTCTCCAGATAAGAAGTACGATCAGAATGAGAACGAAGGTACCCAATATGGAACCTATGATGATGGAGACGAGAGTGCTGACGGGTGTGTGTTTGGTCGTGTGGGACGTAACGGGGCTAACGGAAGCTGACGGTGAAGGAACGATGACGAAGTATCTGACACATTCATGAGTCACTATGTAGAAGGTATATCATTAACACAAACTTACGAAATCTCCAAAAGACGTAACTCAGACGGAAGCAGCGATGGTCCCGAAGTACTATTAGTTGTGTTTCGGCCAAGCAATGTCAGGGTGACTGTATGAGACGCATTTGTGATATGGTCGTCGAAGAAAAGCGAGCATGCCGAGAGACCAGGAAGTAAGAGGTCCTGGGTGAAGTTCTGGTTTCCGTCCGTTGATATATGCAGAATACCACTGGTATTCGATTTGATACCAGTCACCGATAGTCTGTCTCCTGCATGACGTGTCAGCAAGTTCTGGCGTTACAAGGTAGGGGAGGATTACCTTCAAAGCTAAAGGATGCCGAAGCACCTGGCTGGCTTGTAAACCGGTGGGTGGTTTTTTCGCTGAGACGACTTGAGGTGCAGGGTGCGTTGGAAGACTCTTCCCATGCAGAGGCAGGTTCGTAGTGGACGTCGTTATCTAGATCGATCGAACGTTGTTGCTCGATTGTTCCAGCCATCTGCTGCCGTTTTTGGAGCATCGTGCTACGGACCAAAGAGCGAGAGCCATGTAAGAGTGAAAGAAAAAGCTGAAGGAGGTTGTTGGAACGTGAAGAACAGGCAGAGACCTCATGTTGTCGGGGCCAGGTTCACTAGAACAGCCTGAGCTTAGAGGCACCAACAATAGAATGGCGGGGAAAAGATGCCAGTTACTGAAGACGTGATGAGTGGCTGTACCTGAGAGTTGTCGCTAAGGACGTTTAAATGAAGTTCACATTGTACTGCTGAGTTTCATCTGATACACTAGCTGCAGTAATCGAAGGTTGAAGATTGAAGCTACGAATCAATATAATCAATGGGTGAACGACAATGGTGGCATGAGGACATGAGACGGCACTGACATTATGGGTTCATTCAGAGGGATATAAAAACAACTAAGCGATCCAACTTGAACAAGACTCGACGCACGTTCCTATAACCGGTGCAGGAGATCAAATTCGAGATCCAGAGACGGAGTAAAGACGGGGTCATACCTTATAGTAGACCAGATGAGAAATCCTCTGTAGACAACGCATTTAAGTGGCCAAGCTAACAACTGACTAGATATGATCCAGAGGCCTTCAGGTTGTAGCTCGAAGGAATACTGATAGAACTCAAATCAAACTAGAAATGAGCAGATGAAAACCATTCAAAACTTGGAGTTAATCTGAAGTTCGTCTGGTGTATATATACAACTATTATCTAAATACATGCAGTATCAATGTGTTCATATATACTTATGGTATTGGTCAGGTTCAAGCATGGATCAATGAATGTGTTTGGGTAGGTTTTAATAAGTGGTTACAAATGAATAATGAGAGGAAAAGGTGTGTCTGTAGATCTGAAATAAATGTGATCATAACATTACCTCCTCCTCTAGAATCATGTCCTCACGATTAATTATGATAGAGTGTGAAATTGTTCAATCATACCATAATGATCCATTCTTCTGAATTTTCTTCTTCTCGAAGTCGCATTCGATAGATGAGGATGCAAATTACGCCAATCACCAGATAAGTGCTGCCTATTGAGATGAATATGATGTAGGCGTCGTTGAGCATTTCTACCAAAGGGCTTTCATTGGTTGAGTGAATGAGTGTTCGAGAATAGGGGATTCCATACTTGGGATTGTGATTGGTTTGACGAGTTGGTAGAAAGAAAGAATGGGGTATTGCCATTCAAGTTTGACTTTCATAGGTGCAGATGTGATTGCCATGTGTGTCAGTTTGAGCGTCTGTTCATTGATGATCCACAACTTGCCGGCATTCGGGTAGTGTTGATTAGATATGATTTGTGCTTTCCTTCAATTTTCAAATAATTTAATTGAATCTGGGTTCACAGATATCATTGCTTTTTCTTTTTTACGACATTCTGCCCATCTCTGTACTTTCTGGTCCCAATAATCCCATTCTTCTTATGTTGCTTCTTTTGGGAATGACTGTTCCATAATCTGTGCCTTTAGCAATATTCTTGTAGGTGCTTTTGATGCATCGGGATGATCTTTATGAAATTTGTCGATAATCTTTTTGTCTATATTTTTAATAATTTTATGACGAGGTTCTCATGTGTTCTCAGAACGTGGTTTTTCAGCCCACTTAATTAGATATTGAAGACCCTCACATGCCATCTTGGAGTCTAATATGGATTCGACTTTGTCTTCTAAGATATTGATAATTATTGGAATATTTTTGTGTGTTTTCTGATTTGAGAATTCTGGTGCATGGTATGGCAATAATAAGGTTTCATTGAATACGGGATGTACGCCTTTCCATGATTTTGGTAATTTGAGCTTATATGCGCTAGCTCCAATTTTCTTGACAATCGGGAATGGTCCATATCTTTTATCATCTAATTTTTGATTTGATCTGTCCGTGCATATATGCATAGCTTCAAGCCACACTAGATCTCCATCTTTATAGTTTATGGCTTCACCTTTATGTTTGTCATATTGTCTTTTTATAACATCCTGTGCTAACATTAACAATGCTGATGCCTCTTCTTGGATTTTCTTCATTCGTGCTACAAACTGCTCAGCAGTTTCATTACGAATTTCTTTTTTGGTTTCTACGCCAGTGTAGGCTTCTCGTCCATGATTCATATAAAATGGTGAAAATCCAGTCGCAGAGTGAACTCTATTTCGGTATGCAAATGTTGCCAGTGGCAACCATTCTGGCTAATCAGTTTATTGGTGATTGATAAAGATTCATAAATAATTTTCAATTTCTTGATTGATTCGTTCTGTTTGTCCATCTATCTGTGGATGATATGCCATACTAGGATTTTCCTGAATTCCTAGTTTCTTATATAAATCTTTTATGAAACTGGATACGAATTGCAGTCCACGATCTGATGTCATCTTTTTGGGTAATCCATGCAATGGATATACATTTTTGATATAAAGATTAGCTCATTCTTCTGACATCAATTGCTCCGTAGTTGGTATTTCAATATAGTCTTTTGATTTCATATCTATAACTACTATGATTGCATCATGCCCTTGCCATTCTGGTAAATGTATAATCATGTCTACTGATTGATATTTCTAATTTTGTTCTGGAATTGCATTTGGGTGTAATGGAGCATTCTTCAGTTGATGGTTAATCTTGGTTTTTTGACAAGTCTCGCAGCCTTTTACATATGTTTTTACATCTTTTTTGATCGAAGGCCATCAGTACGATCAATAGATTAGTTCTTGTGTTTTCACTTATCCAGGATGACCAGCACTAATCAAATCGTGATGTGAATGAATAATTTCTCCTCTGAGTTCCTTATCAAAAGGGATAACAATCTTCCCCCTTCTCCAGATAAGACTGTCCTCGGTCTCATTGAAATCAGCATCTTTTGTCAATAATTTTAGTCATACATTGTTCTCATATTTTTCAGTGTTTTTTATAATTTTCTCCCGTAAAGCTGATAATCCGAGGATTTCATTGGCTCAGAACTATTCTGGTTTTAACAATGTAATATTTTCATTATGACTATCACCAATATCATGATGGGTCTGTCGCGATAAAGGGTCTCCCTTCATCATTATGTTTCTGAGTTTGTGGGTCAAATTGAAATCATGTTGTTGTAGTTCTTGGATCCATCGCGCTTGGTGATGATTCAACTTCTGGGGTTTTTTGAAATAACCAAGGTTCTTGTGATCAGAATGAATTTCAAATTTCTGCGCAGCTCCCATCAAGAAGTGACGCCATTCTTCTAATGAGATCATGATAGCTAGCATCTCTTGATCGTAGATCTCATAGTTTCTTTCAGCTGGTGAAAGGCTTTTAGATAAAAAAGTGATAGTTCGCCATTGTCCATCTTGCTTTTGTGCAAGTTCAGCTCCAATAGCATATTCTGATGCATCGCATTCAACTTTGAACTGGTCTTCATTGTTCAGAATACCCAATACCAGTGTCATAGTAATGGTTGTCTTTAGAAGTTCAAAAGCTTCCTGCTGTTCTGGACCCCAGGTCCATTCTACTTGTCCGCTTAATTTATTTAAGGGAGTGGCAATTTTGAAAAAGTCTTTAATGAATCGTCAATAGAAATTAGCAAATCCAAGGAATGACTGTAATTCTTTTTTGGCTTTTGGTACTGGCCATTGTGTAACTTCATCGACTTTGGCAGGATCCATCTTTACAGTTTCTTGCAAAATAATATGTCCAAGATATTCTGTTTCTTGAGTTTCAAACTCGCATTTTTCTGATTTGCAGGTTAACTTATTTTCTCGTAATATTTTAAGGACTTCTTTTACGATATGTCAGTGTTCCTCCAGGGATTCGGAAAATATGAGTATATTGTCAAGATATATAATTACTTTTCCTTTGAGAATGAGATTATGGAAAATGTCATTCATCATCATTTGGAATGTAGCAGGACTATTCGTCAATCCAAAGAACATGACGGTTGGTTCATATAGTCCTCTATTTGTGATGAATGCAGCTTTCTCTTCGTCTCCTTCTTTCATGCGAATATTGTTATATCTCCAGCGAATGTCCAGTTTCATGAAATATTTAGCACCTTTGAGTTTATCAATAAGCTCTGAGATTAATGGTAGAGGATATTTGTTTTTCTTAGTCATATCATTGAGTTTTCGGTAATCCTGTACCGGTCTCAATTTTTCATCTTTCTTTTTGACAAAGAAGAAGGATGCTCCCCAGGGAGACTTCGATGGTCGGATTCTACCTGTCTTTAGGTTTTCTTCAAGAAAACTGTCTAGGATTTTTTGTTCTTCAACAGTCATGGAATACACCTTGCCTGTATATGGTGATGAGTCTGGTAGCAATTCTATTGCATGGTCCCATAGTTTCCTTTCTGGAAGGACATCAAAAGTATCCTCAGTGAATACATCTGTGAATTTACAATACTATTCGGGAACCATTTCATTGAAGGTCTTTTTCTTTTTTTGTTTACTTTGTTCAATTGCTATATCTATGGCGGTTACGTGCATTCACCGAATCTATTCTCTCCGTTCTTTATACTAGGCATTGGTATTGAGTAAATATACTGTATCTCCTTCTTTGATCTCTTGTTGTCTTATAGTGATGCATATGTGCGGGCATCAGTTAAAGTTAACAAGTTGTAGTTTAAAGTCTATTGATGGATTATGATATTCAATCCATTCATATCTGAGGAATATGTCTGACTTCCCTAGATCGGTAACTAGAAGCATGATCTTCTCTTGGTGATCGCCAATTCGAAGTGTGAGTCAGACATATTCTGTGATCGGTTCCTGAGAATTCTCGCTGTTATCCATGTTATAGACTTGAATTGGTCGATCAAATCTAGAGGTTTCGATTCCATGTCTTTTGACAAAATTATAATTTATGCATGATCTGGTACTTCCGGTGTCTACTAATGCTACTGTGTCATGAATTCTTTCTATTTCTGATATGATCACAGTGACTGGTAGGTCCATTTGTTTTCCTCTTCTAAGTCCTTTGACTACTTGGAGTAACAGTGGTCCACAGTCTGTGATGCTTTTTTCTGACACACTCAGTTTATTTTCAAATTTTTTTGTATTTTGTTTAGAGGAATCAAGCACAGGTTCTGCCCTGCTGCACTTCTTGGTAGAAGATGCCTCTGCGTTAGATGAAATATTTACAAAAGAGGACTGTCCGATTGATGTATTACAGGCATGTATTGAAGATGTTTTCATAGAACTCTCCAGGGGTTTATCTGAGTCATTGTTTTTATCCGGCAAGTTACTTTGTGCATTTAAGCCTTGCCCGAGCCAAAATTTAGCTTCTTCGCCTTCTCCGGGTTCTTCTCCATCCATCGCTGAACCATGGCGATCATCTTGTCATCGTCGTCATCATCTGAGTTGAAAATCTCCTCGATCTTTGACTCTGATTTCATTTCATTCTTTCGAACATGTTGAGTGTTTGTGGAAGGTCCCGATCGATTAGAGACATGCCATGCACTTCTGCAAGTGCTCTTCTCTAATTGCTTAGCCTTACACTTAAGGCAATTCCTATCCAAGTCCATTGGCTGTCCATGCCCTGTGAACGTTATGCTGATTCCATCCTTCTTTTCTCCATAGTCCTTCTTCAGATTCTGATTCTGGTTCTGACCTGATCCTTGGGTCTGCTGCTGATAAGTAGGGTACTTCTGCCCATAGTTCTGATTCAATCGGAAAGGTCGATATCTGATTTTCTTCAAATGCTTCTCTTCTTCCTGGTGCCTTCGCGAGGAATCAATATCAATGATCGCTTCCTTCCACTGTGCATATGTGGCCAGTCGTGTATCTCTGTCAAGAGCCCTATCTACTATGGACTCATTGCAGTTGAGTCAGACAAGGTCGATAGTATGTTTATCTTCCTTTTTCCTTTCTGCCTGCGTGATGTACATTTCCAACTTCTGGAAATATTCTTGTGCCATTCCGTTGCCTTGGGTCAGGTTATCTATCTAGATAACTGCTTGTTCTACTCGATTAGAATTGAGGAATTGTTCATCGCGATCGAGAACCAACTGATAGAAGTTGACTTTCCATCTGTCAGTGCCAATGTCAAATTCATTTTCAAAATAATTGTTGACCCAATTGTCAACCTTTGGATCCTTCATGTACGAAAGAGTCATGTCAATCTTTTGTTCGTTAGTAAGACCGGTGTTCTTCGGTGTTCGAAACCATAAATACAATTGTCTTTTGAAAGATGGATATTTGTCTTTAGTTCCATCGAAGTCTGAAGGTTTCCCTCCAGATGCCTTTGTGTTGGGCTGTAGTGGGACTGGTGGTGGTTGTCTAGGAGGTGGAGTTGGATTTCTTGATAGTGGCAGTGGTGGATTTGGTGGATTTGCTCTGAGACTACCAGTTCCAGATCCAGTAGAACCCATTGGTGATAATGGTGAAGGTGGCATGGGGTTTGTAGGGGATGAGTGTGGTGACGGTACGAGTGGAGGCGGAGATCGACATGTGTAGTATTGATAGAGTGATGCAGTGAATTCAAATGAAGACGTGATGTGTGAACAATAGTGTCTTGTACCAGGCACATGACCCTGTTCTGGTACTTAGACAAGTATAGATCCGAGGTAAAGGTACTCCTTCAAAGTGTTCCAGTCAATAGCTGATCTGGACACACGAAGTAGGTAGATATAGTAACTACGTAAAATGGTTCAGCCTTAGAAGGCATGAAAAGAGAAGTTGATCTCTGTGGTAGTTGTCTTTCGATGTGCAAGAGAATCAAGGAATACCAGCGAGGTTCAAAACCTCCTGCTGTACACTCAGTCATTTAGGTCTGAGCAGGGTAAATTCTGGTAGGATTTTTCAACGGCCCCTCTGTCAAGAAGGTTGCAATACTGCCTACTTCCTGGTTGCTTCAAGAGCGGACTACCAGGTGAGAGTAATGATTTATGTACTAAGGGAATACAAGAGTCGCAATCTACAGGTGTAGTCACATGATTATCCAGGTGGAGGAGTGGAATGCAATAGAAAAGTAACTAGGAGTGTGGAATTCAGATCCCTCTGAATGAGGTCTTGAGCGAGTAAGAATAAAGCAGAGTAGGATGAGGAACGAGGTGGTTGCTGTCAAGTACAATGGACTTGAGTGATGAAGTGTGGGTGGAAGACAAGGCAATGCCTGTCGAGAGAGTGCGAAGGGGCAAGTTTCGAATTATGATAGAACTCAAATCAAACTAGAAATGAGCAGATGAAAACCATTCAAAACTTGGAGTTAATCTGAAGTTCATCTGGTGTATATATACAACTATTATCTAAATATATGCAGTATCAATGTGTTCGTATATACTTATGGTATCGGTCAGGTTCAAGCATGGATCAATGAATGTGTTTGGGTAGGTTTTAATAAGTGGTTACAAATGAATAACGAGAGGAAAAGGTGTGTCCGTAGATCTGAAATGAATGTGATCATAACAAATACGGTAACAATTCATTTTGGTATACTGAGGTGTCCTAGTTTCGATTGAATCATGAGTGTCTTTTAAAACGTATCATCTGCCGGTCCAGACCCATCTCATCCTGAAATACTGTGCTGCACAAGGTGGTGAACGAGGGAGTCGTTGGTTGGTCGTGAGAACGTAGGTTCAACGAATAAAGATGACCCGAAAAGGCAACAAGCCCAGCCATTCAATTGTTTCTCGACCAAGAAAAACTCTACTCAAGAGTCTCACTTGAATTCAAATAGGTTCATAAATCTTCTCACTTCTCGACCAGAACTGGATAAATATCAACGTTTCCCTCTGTTGACAGTGATGCGCTGACTGAGCCACGCGATCTATCATCGAACCCAGGTCACAGTACGCAAAGTTTGATATATTTAGTCTCGTGTTTGCCCGTTCAATCCCAAGCTGCCGATAGGGTATGGACTCCAGCCCCGCACCGGTACCCATGTCATCGATAAAATAGGTCTCACTATTTCCGCCACCAGGGGGACCTCTAGCTATGAGTAGGCTCTTATATCATTACTGTCCCATACGAGCATCCATCGACAGTACCCATCGCAACAGCAACAGTACCTGTCCGGATTGTAGTTTCCTCCGTTGACAGATTGAACTGCATTCAGGGTGTGTATTTTGATATTTCTAGTATAGTGCCTCAGGGGACTTCTCGCCAAGTGCAAAGATGTTTCTACCTCCACGCGTCCATGCGCAGGACGAGAACACTTCGGAAGCTCTCCTAGAAGGATCTGTTACGGGAACTGCGTCAATGCTTATTGAGAGCTACGTATTACCTTCTTATGGTGAGTTGCACTACCATCTCGAGTCCTGAAAGTCTAGTAGACCTTTGTTCCTTCTATAGAGACTTTCCGAGAGACCGTAAAGGCTCGAATGTTGTACAAAACGAAGACCAGCGAATCTTATCTACTTCCCGCTGTTGATGTTCCTCAAAGATTATCATCCATGTCGTGCGTTCTTACGCCCTCCCACTCTCACGACACCCAACTAATTGTGATTATGTTCTCTACAGAGAGTCCCTCGCTCCATCCATCTCGGAAAACCCATCATTTCCATGGCTCTATATTCGCGATACAATAGCGCAGAGGAATATCGAACGAAGATCCGTGCAAGCATCCATACTCGGCGGAGTCATAGCAGCCGCAGTCATAATCATCCTCATCATGGGCCTAACCATCATAGTAGGCCGAAGATTACTCTGTTTCGACAAGTTAACCCCCCTGCGCAAACCAAGAAACTCATTATCGACATTATCGCGGACCACATCCTCCCATCCCCGTACCCATCCCCCTCCACGTCCACTTCCAAATCATCGACGCGGGTGGTGGTCACGACTCAGATTCGGAAATAGGCAGGACGGAGGAACGGGACCTAGGTCTCCGAATATATCGTTGAACGATCTTGATCTTACTCCCACTAATACCACAAGGCAATCCGCCCAAAGTACCGATTTAATTCCATTATCCACGATTTCTACCCTAGTTGACCTTCAAGCTTCACCGGTGTCACCGGTACGTCCGGCTCCGACGCATTTTGTGGATGAAGTGCAGAGACATTATGAGCCGACTCGGGACTCCGCTCAGCGCAGATCAGTTGAGTGGGACGTGTTAACATACTCGGAAGTTGTACACAACTATCCACCTACCAATCGATGATGGACTGTATGTAATTGCAGTCACTCATGTACCTACCTTTAAGGATCCATGTCATTCCTCAGAATCTAGAACGATTGAAGCAGAAATGATCTATGTTTGCTTTCCAGCTGAGACAGAACGGAACGGAAACGACAGCCAACAACAGAACAAGTACACATATAGTTGTCCATTTTACACTTCTTTAAATTCTGATCCTTCTCAGTATACTATACTCGCCCAACCTACTTAGATAGCACCATCCTTCTTGGCAGCATACACAAGCAAGTCGCAAACACTGCGGGAGTAACCCCACTCGTTATCGTACCAGGCAATAAGCTTGACGAAGGTGGGGCTAAGCTGAATACTAGCATCGGCATCAAAGATCGAGGACGCGCTGCTACTAGTGAAGTCAGTCGAGACGACCTTCTCGTCGGTGTATTCGAGAATGCCCTTGAGAGGTCCTGCAGCAGCCTCCTTGAGGGCATTCTTGATATCCTCGTAGGTTGCCTCCTTCTTGAGACGGACGACAAGGTCAACGACGGAGACATCGACAGTGGGTACACGGAAGGCCAAGCCGCTAAAGACCATTATCAGCCAATGACGTCACGCGAAGCGCTTAGCATCACTACGCACGTAAGTTTGCCGTTGAGCGAAGGAATGACCTTTCCAACGGCCTTGGCAGCACCGGTGGACGAGGGAATGATGTTGTTACCAACAGCACGACCTCCACGCCAGTCCTTGTTGGAGGGACCGTCGACGGTCTTCTGGGTAGCGGTTGTCGAGTGGACGGTCGTCATGAGACCCTCGAGGATACCGAACTTGTCGTTGATGACCTTGGCGAGGGGTGCAAGACAGTTGGTCGTGCAGGACGCGTTGGAGATGACGGTGTACTTGGGGTCGTATGCCTCGAGATTGACACCGCAGACGAACATCGGTGCGTCAGCGGAGGGAGCAGAAATGATGACTTTCTTGGCACCACCCTTCAAGTGGGCAGAGGCCCTAGAAACCGGTAACGTTCAATAAGCTGGATATATGCGCCCTATTATGGCGCATTACTTACTTCTCGGTGGTGGTGAAGACACCAGTGGACTCCACGATGTACTCAGCACCGACGTCACCCCACTTGATGTTGGCAGGATCACGCTCAGCGAAGACGTGAATCGGCTTGCCATCGACCCAGAGCTTGCCGTCCTTGGCCTCAACGGAGCCCTTGAAGCGACCATGAACGGAGTCGTACTTGAACATGTAGACCATGTAATCAAGGTTAATGAAGGGGCTACATAGCCGCATCAGTTTCGTATTTGTGCTGAGAGCTGTGGATGTACATACTCGTTCACGGCGACGACATCGATGTCTCCATGAAGCAAGGCATTACGGAGCACGATACGACCGATACGACCTGCAACAACCGTTTGTTAACTGCACTCTGCGCATATAATCGAACGTACATACCGAAACTGCAAAGCAAAAAGCGATCGAAGGTTAGATTACTCTGGCTCCCTTTGAATTACTCGACCATACCCGTTGATTCCTACTTTAACCTATGCACACGTTCAATAACCTCATGAAACAATATGCAGAGGCTGGTACTCACTGGCATGATGGATGTATGAGAGTAGCGAAATGGTTGGGGAAGAGAGTTGGAAAGGGGAGAGGGGCCAGTTTTATATCTCGAGCCATCGCTATCGGAGATTCGGCTTCCCCCTTTCCAGTCCGGTCTTGCCAGGCGCGGCTAGATCTGACGTCGTCTCCAGGCCAATCGCGTTGCAGAGAAATAAGAAACTCATCGATGGCTCTATCCTTCCACTTCCAATTACTATCCGCCCGCGAGTCGCCAGGGACGAGAGTACTCGAGAGCCTTGGAAATTAAAGCTTGACATGTAGTACTTTTGTTGGTCCACAAACGTGCACTCTCCCAACGCAGCTCAACTTGACCGGTCCGACCTAACAGACTTACTCCGTCCGATATTGTACCTGCATTCTACCCTCTCAGTTGCGCAGCCTTTGCTTACTGCAGACAGGCTTGGTGACATGATTTTGCATCGGCGGATATTGTATTCGGACTGAGCTGACAAACATACATGTGTACCGCTCGGATACTCTGGTACGAGAGAGGCCTATATACGATGATCATGACAATTGACCTATGCAAGCCGACCCTGTCTCTTCGGTTTCTGCGGTCGTGCGGCTTTTGTGCGCATTGATGACTTGTATTATATTCTATACTTGACTCGCTATGCCCGCTAACGCTTGGGAAACTGGAGAAATCTGGAGACGGGCGAGACATTGTGTGGGGATCATGGCGGTAATGGCCCAACGTAAAATCGCCCAACTTCTGGGGCGTTCACATGAGCCTATCTTCTGAGAAGTTCGCTATACTGGTTAGCATATACACTTGACACAATTGTGCTTTCGCTGCGATTCATGGAAATGCGGATTCAAGGAAGGCCTTGGGAGGCTTTATGTCCTTCGATTCAGCACGGCAGAGCAACAGAACTCTGACATGGTACCAGAGCAATGTGCGTAGTATATTGAAACATGGTACGCGGTAACTGTCGACCATTACGTCGTCGACATGATTCATCGTTCACTGCTGACGGTTTGTTATGGAGTTGCTAAGCATTTCAAACACTGCTACTGATGATGGTCGCATTCTGTTATCGGGAGATGTAGCTCTCACTTTTCTCTTGTTTCGTCCAGGTCTTCAAGTCTATCGCTGAGAAGCTGATGCACCGACGTCTTTTTCTGTTAGTGTAAGATCATTGATCTTCCCGATCAGTTATTCAGTACTCATGTTCGAGTCTTTCCATTGACAGGCGACTGAATTTTGATTGCTGTTTTTCGGATTCACGAACCTCTTCACGTTAGTGGATTCAATTCGAGACCTTACACAGAAGGAAGGAATTTGCAGTCTTCCACCTTTAAAGCCTCACCGTACGATACAAGGCGGTCCACTACATGACAGGCACCTACATTCGCGGGTTACATGAAGCCTGGTCACGATTGGATAAAAATTCCGACCTAGCCAAACTCATTCAAAGCTACATTCTCGTTCAGGTGATTACATTACTTTCTCAGATTCTTGTGTTTTGCCTCATACTTTGCGACAGTACAATGCATTGCTTGATCTTGTGAAATCACCAAATGACAACTTTTATTCATCGGGTTGGAAAGGTCTACAAGTGACTCGGTTGCTTCCATCGGGTCAATATTTCGGCGCAAGTGTTCTGAACTCTGCCCTTGCCATGACAAACAATGGCACGGTGACAGGCAGCAGCATGGACAGGTATGCAACTGAGTTCATTTATGTTATTCACATCTTTCTGGTGCCCTCTGAATTGCCTGAATTCTCCAGCCCATCTGCAACCCATTCTGGTCTAGCTTCAGAAACCTCTGCAATACAATCTCACCATATTGATACCGGTGTAATTGTGGGTGCAACAGTTGGCAGTGTCACATTTCTTGCCATATTGATGGCACTCCTCATGTTTCTGTTCTTATGTCAGTGAAACTGGAGAGGTCATGCTATGTTCACCATTGATAAAGTGAACCCCCTTCTTGGATGGACATTATGATGCTCTTGAGCTGTGAGACCAGTTACTATGTAAGCAACTTCTTATCCTTTGACATCAACTATGGTGTATTTGAGCTTCCCGATGGCAGCATTGTAGCAACTGATGTTCTCTCATTCACTTTAGTGTCAAGTTCCCTGTCACAGATCAAGGATAGTACAAACTCTATATCTACTCCATCAGCAAGTCACTCTTGTCATGTCCAAGAGGATGTCAATCAGGAGTCCATACTGGAACTCTTGCAGCAGTTAAATCATACAATGGCTCAAGATCAGCCTATGCCTAGCATTGCTAACAATACCAATGCAGACATCATTGCACCACCTCAGTATGAATCAGTTGCTGTTGATAGCCCTATTAATGTACCTTATGAGAAGTTTCAACCTGTGAAACATTAGCTGTATGACATATTTATATAATATACTTGGTATATATTCATTCTTTGAGAAGTCTTCAGAGAGTTTGTAGCATTTATTGCAGATGCCTCTCACTCTATTTTAGCATATCCTTGTTATTTTCTGTAAATATGAAAGACATTAATTACAACCATTTTATAAATCTATCTTGATAGCACTACTATAATATATATACATATATAAATTAAGAAATTGCAGAAGATAGTTCTGCTGTTATAATGTGACCTTTCTACTTCTTTCTCTGTACTAATATTTTTCATATTATTGTATTCCTATAGTATTATTAAGATATATAAAATGTGGTAAAAGTTGATAGTAATATATTTTCTATAGACACACTTCTAGATATCTTAAAATTATATCAAAAGTCTTGCTTTTCTTGAAATATGCATCTTGATAGAAGAGGAATTCAGATTTACACTTCTGTACAGACTAAAAGTAGACTTACCATTATAATATATCTTGCAAAGATAGATGCTTTATTGATTATTGCAGATTTATCTTATTTTATGTAATTTCTCTTTTTTCTCTAATTACAATATTTGAGTTCAAATTTTACTCACTGTAGAGCAATATAAAGTATAGTGAAAGTGAAAGTGATTAGTTTAAACAATGATCATTCTATTGTCAAATTTACAGAGGCTTATAGCATGATTATTGCAAATGAAGCTTAGCAATATAATATTTCAATTTATTTATAACAAATTAGCCTAATAATCAATTTAGAAGGCTCTAGTTAATCTAGTTTAATTTAGTTGCAGATAAGAGCTTTTAGTTGAACAGCCAGTAAGTTGAACAGTCAGACAGTTATCAGATAAAATTCTCATAGATTAGATTGCAATATCTGAGATCAAGTACAAAAGTTTATATACATATGCTATAGAAAATAAGAAAAACTGAATAAAAGAGAAAAGAAAAATTGCAAATCACAAAAGCTGTTAAAAGTCACATGGTATAGGATTGAAGCTAATGATGCAGAGTTATACATGTAAATAAGAGAATGCAGAAGAAAGCTAGAGCAAAAAAGAAAGAAAAAAAGAAATCTCTATCACAACAGTTTACAAATAGCTAACACCATATAAAGAAGGTATTTTATGTCATCTTATAGCAAGTCATTTAATAACTACATGAAGACTAATGATGAGACTATGTGTGTCATATTTATAAAGTTTAATCTAGACTTTATCATATTGATCTATGCTACATATATTATAATACTTATTTTCAACATGTAAAATGCCTTTCTCTGCTAGCCTAGGAAATAGCTCAAACCAGTCAACATTATTGCCTGCTGAAGACAAGCTAACAAGTTTGAGACTAGATGTATTTATAGCCAATAAGTATAATTCAAGATGTTGACAGTCTTCTTTATCCTGAGATGGCCAAAAAAGATCTATACTTATAGGCATCTTTGAATGCACAGATGAAAGTGATGCTAATATAAATGGAAGGCTTTCTTTTCTTGCAGCTAGACTTAGATATTGCAAGTATAAATTATGCTAAAAATTAATAGCTATCAAAGTAGTTAGAATAAAAGTAGAAAATGAAGATGTAATGTAATTCTCACCTATAGCATCCTTAGGCAAGCTAATGCAGCATCTTGTCAATAATCACTTAGAGCTTAACGAAATTTGATTGATTGCTAATATATTCTCATTGCTGAATCTACTTGACTCAAAATATCTAATATGAAGAAGTTCAAGACTAGGGATATAGCCACTATCAAAAAACCACTGCAATAATGATAGATCTGTGTTTATCAGTTGCAGTGATTTCAGTCTAGGTCTGAACAGCCTTTTGTCTATAGTAATTGTGACAATACTTGAAGTTGTAGAATTAATGTCAATAATGTAAAGTTAAAGATGCTGCAATTTGACACATAATTGTAAGACTCTTTGGAGCTACCTGATTGATAGCAGACAATCTTCTAGACTCAGAGTTTGTATTTGTAGAAGAGCCAGACATCTGTAGAAATCTACATGCATATTAGCAAGATCAATGCTTATAATAAGATGAGTGAGATTATTAAGCCTAGCAGAAAGGAGCAGTATAGAGCAATCTCTGAAAAATTTCACATTAAAGCTCTTCAAATATGCAGAGTATTTTTTAGGATAATGGATATATGTTCTCCACAGATGCTGAGTAGCTCATATAACTAGGTGCTCATCTGCATCATACAGTATTCTTGAATGTGACAGATAAATATGCCTATAGAGAAAGGACAATGCATGTAAATGCCATGCATGACAAGTGAGGCAACAAGCAGCTAAGTATTTCTGCTATCATATGCAAAAAGTATGTCAAAACTTTGCATCTTCAACATTAAGAAGACATGTTCAACTCACTCTTAAAAAATAGCCTAGAGGCTCAGTTGCATGCACCCAATAGATGACCTTCAACTGTGTCTCCAAGGGTAGCAATGGAAGCCCCTGTTCTCTTCTACTCTGTAGTACAGTGACTCACAAAACCTTTTTAATATTTGTCAAAATTTGCTTTCATAGGCAATATCTTCTCACTGAGAATGAATATCAAAGTGCTATTATATAATCTGAAAGGGTAGTATCTTGGCTTCAATTATCACTCTGGGTCATGTGATTTGGTCCAGAATTGGCAGAGATACTTGAATTGCAAAGGGCACTACTTATTGAAAGAGTTTTGTTGTACGCTGTTCTACCAAATGAAAACTTGAAATTTGAGTACTTATTAGAGTTTTCTCTTGATCTAAATTAGTGTGTAGACCTACCAAGGGATGCTCCAAATTGAATAAGAACAAGCCTTCTTTGATACAACCTCTTATTTCTTCTGCATTCTCTTCTATCACTTTGATATCTCTTTTAATAATATTCTCAGTTCTCCAAGCTTTCTTCTCAAATGGTTTCAAGAACTGTTAATAAGATTGATTTCAGAGGACTGAATTGAGTATAGAGAAACCTCAAACTTATAACTTTTCAGTCAGTTCTTAGCATTTTTTAGGATATTTGTTTTACTAAAAGTCAATACCCTTGAAATGTTTCTATAATATCTCAGATACTCTCAAAGTTTATCATTAAGTGCATGTGTGTATAGATTGACATTGACAATGTTTTCATGATTTATCATATATCTCACTTTCATTTATTGTCTACACCTCTATGCACACTCTTCAATTCTAGCTATACTTTGTAAGAACTTATTGTTTACATTGTTTAGCTCCTTTTTTAATATTGACTTTCAATCTTTTAATCTCAGATAACTAATACTAGTCTTATATATATGAAGAAACTATCTCTAGTAATTTTGGCTTCACTTCTGATACTTCATGGCACAGTTTAGCATATTCAGCATAGTATAGTTGAAATTGAAGAGTGTGCATAGAGGTGTAGACAATAAATGAAAGTGAGATATATGATAAATCATGAAAACATTGTCAATGTCAATCTATACACACATGCACTTAATGATAAACTTTGAGAGTATCTGAGATATTATAGAAACATTTCAAGGGTATTGACTTTTAGTAAAACAAATATCCTAAAAAATGCTAAGAACTGACTGAAAAGTTATAAGTTTGAGGTTTCTCTATACTCAATTCAGTCCTCTGAAATCAATCTTATTAACAGTTCTTGAAACCATTTGAGAAGAAAGCTTGGAGAACTGAGAATATTATTAAAAGAGATATCAAAGTGATAGAAGAGAATGCAGAAGAAATAAGAGGTTGTATCAAAGAAGGCTTGTTCTTATTCAATTTGGAGCATCCCTTGGTAGGTCTACACACTAATTTAGATCAAGAGAAAACTCTAATAAGTACTCAAATTTCAAGTTTTCATTTGGTAGAACAGCGTACAACAAAACTCTTTCAATAAGTAGTGCCCTTTGCAATTCAAGTATCTCTGCCAATTCTGGACCAAATCACATGACCCAGAGTGATAATTGGAGCCAAGATACTACCCTTTCAGATTATATAACAGCACTTTGATATTCATTCTCAGTGAGAAGATATTGCCTATGAAAGCAAATTTTGACAAGCATTGAAAGGGCTTTGTGAGTCACTGTAACATGATCAATGTTTCACAGCGTGCAGCTGAAAGCAATGAGGTGAAGTGGATTGGAACTTGGTTGAAAGGAGAAGGTACATGTGACCAGTTGACCCCATCCCTCTTTATATGTACCTTATAGACAATCCTAGGATGCTCACGATACAGGCACCTCACATGCACTACCACGCATTCATAGCCCTGGAAGGATATCATCACAGATGCATGGTATTAGGGTTTAGTCAAGCAGAGAAGGCTGTCCTCAGAAGCAGCGAGTGACAATAACAGATGCATGAGGATGCAGCATACTGACAAAGGCATGAAAGAAGGTATACGTGAAGCGCAAAGTCATTTAGATGCAACAATGGTTGACTTAGAGAGCACTGTAGTGACACTTACAGGCCTCGATGGTGAGAGCAACAGCAGTGACAATATGTTCTGTTTATTCTCTTGCTGACCGTGACTCTCCAACCTAGAGCCTGGAGGGCACGGCAACTACTACATCCATGCAGTCAAAGTCAGTGTCCTAATCAAGAGCCCGTGCCATCCTCATGCAAGATAAGTGCATTCAAGATGCTGATGAACTAATACCCAAGCTGATCAGATCTCTGCATAGAATATGCAGTCATATTCTGTACAACAGAACCCTAGTATATGGACTCAGCAGATATTGCAAAGACAGCAGTTGAGAGGGAGAGGCACTGAGGGTGAGAATGACAGCGAATCAATGCACCAAGTAGTCTAAGATCCTTTATCTATTGTCACAACTGAGCAGTGAGTTCACTCTATGAACCTTGTCTGTCTAGGCCTAGAAGATATAGCTCTATCGCTGGTCACATATGTCATCTGTAAGCAGGCACATTGGTGAGGGTCTGATGAATTGGATTGGTGCAGATGAAAGTCTTGACATTAGGCACAATGAGAAGAATGATTGAATGGTTGTAGGAAGAATAGAATACAGAAATGAGGTAAAAAGATGCGCTTGAGAGAGATGCGAAGAAGTCTGAAGATGTGAAGTGTTGAGTGAGAATC